GAAAAAAAAAAAATATTGTACACATAATAGAACCAAGAAACCTCGAAATAATTACATAAGTAGTAGTAAACTATGCAATATAAAAGCGATATTGTTTTAATTAAATAAAATATACATTTAAAGCAAAAAAAAAACAAGAGTGATCATTTATCAAATCAAAAATAAATTGGGAACGAAGAAGAGCCGTATAAGCAATAAAAAGATCTTATAAGTGTTCGGAGGAAAGCGCGAGCCAATATAAAAAAATCTGTCGCTCACAGATCACGATGGGTGCCAGTTTCAAACAAATGTCTTTTAATTAGAGGAGAACGAGAATTTAACGAAACGTCACGTAGTACCCCATACCTGGCGGTACTTTAACTTTCAAATGTGTAACACGCTCGACGCTAGTATACATTAGTAGTATTTTTTTCACGCACACGCCGCCTGCATATACGACCGTCATCGCACACGAGTAGCAAATGCTAGCTAGCCGTACTCTTTAATACATTTTTCGCATATTATGAACCATGGCTGTATTCCACGTAGCCATCATAACCAAAGTAAGGTACGGGCTCGCTATAATAAAAGCTCGGAGACCCGTCCAAACGATCCCCTTCGAGCCACTCTGCACTAAAATAGACGTAACCTAGTTTAAAAGTGTAGAAAAGTAAAGAAAGAAAAAGATAGCATCGCGCACGTTTGACCTGTGAGGTAACCAGCACCAGTGACGTCTACAACACATTCATCGAAAAAAATTTCTTTTGCAATCTACTCGCGTAAACAATGCGTCCTCTCCGCCACGGATTATACGCGCGATCATCTGTTTCCCGAGGACTGACGCTTTTATATCAATGACTTGCAAATAACCTGGGCATTGCCTCGATGAAATTAATCGCACGAATGCATCAATGCCTCGAGGCGAGAGGCGATCAATCGATTAGTAGTAGTACCGACGCCAATGGACGCGGACAAATTTGCATTCTGTCGCCACCGACGGGTACGGAAATGGGAGCGAGAGAACCTGGGCCTGGGTAAAGCGGGCAGAAAAAAGGGCGGGCTGAAATATTTAAGGCACAGTTACTTTGTTAGCGTTGCCGGTCCGGGAGAGGATGCGATTTGAGGTTTAAAAGTGTAGAAAAGTAAAGAAAGAAAAAGATAGCATCGCGCACGTTTGACCTGTGAGGTAACGAGCACCAGTGACGTCTACAACACATTCACGGAAAAAATTTCTTTTGCAATCTACTCGCGTAAACAATGCGTCCTCTCCGCCACGGATTATACGCGCGATCATCTGTTTCCCGAGGACTGACGCTTTTATATCAATGACTTGCAAATAACCTGGGCATTGCCTCGATGAAATTAATCGCACGAATGCATCAATGCCTCGAGGCGAGAGGCGATCAATCGATTAGTAGTAGTACCGACGCCAATGGACGCGGACAAATTTGCATTCTGTCGCCACCGACGGGTACGGAAATGGGAGCGAGAGAACCTGGGCCTGGGTAAAGCGGGCAGAAAAAAGGGCGGGCTGAAATATTTAAGGCACAGTTACTTTGTTAGCGTTGCCGGTCCGGGAGAGGATGCGATTTGAGGGTGAGTGATTGACAGCGCTTGCAGTTTGAGCATTAGGGGCGAAAGTGGCGATGGGACGAACACAACGGAAGCGGAAGATAATGGGACGCTGTACGCGTTATATACAGTGATGTCATAAATCGGGACGTACCAAGCGCGTCCCGTGTAAATCATGTTTTATATGCTAAACCAGAATTACATCGTATGTACGTATATCTATGCTTGTTAGCATGCATTTTGAAGCGTGAAATTTTTTCATTAAGTGTATTTTTGTCTTTTTTTTTCATGCATATGAAGATTTGTTCTCACATAATCTCAATATACCGTGTAAACTTGTCGGATTAGCCGAAAATCATATATAACGTCCTTCCATGCGCGTGAAAAAGGACGAAATATCAATCTGGAAATTTCCATGTTACCGAATGACATGTATTATCGTAAAATGTGATTTTCTATGCGTGTGTGAAATATGCTAAGAGGCATCGAGAACGTTCGCTCAACGGGCTTGTCAATTTCGAACGCGAGAAGAGGAAAGACGCGCTTATTTGGCACGTGGTTTCCATTTTCCTCGGTCCCGTGATCACATAGAAGCGCGAACGATGTGGACCGCTATGGCCACGCTACGGACAATGAATTTCAGACGCTCCGTTGACGCACTCTGTTCGAGTATTTCATGGCTGACTATGCTCGGACGTGAGACATATTGCCGTTCTCGACCGGTGGACTTCAATGCAGATTTTATGTTCGCGCGGTGGACACGTATCAGCGATTTTCAAAAAGCGCGTCGCATATGGGCTAGCCGAGCTGGACGAACGAGTTTTGTAGAGAGAAAGAGAGAGTTCAATGAGATTCAGGATTAAAATTTGAAATGTCAAAAAATTGAGAAACATCTTTCGAATTACAGATATACATTACTTTTTTCCGCCGTCATTCCTTTTTACTACTATCTCTTTATATAATTCTAGTGTCTATTAATAAAATTATAATTGTATCGACTAGAAACAGATCAAAGGTAGAGCTACGGTTAAATGGCAGCAAAAAAATATTCGCGAGAGAAAATATACGTTGTTCACGTGACAGCGCACGTTAATCGCTCGCGTGACGACTGCGAAACGGTCTGTTAGCACAAAGTGAACACAAGTGCACAGTCGCTTCATTAAATACAGTGAACGCGTTATTATTACTCCCGCGTGGTTGCAACGCGACTCTTAACGTCTCGCACTCTAACGTCAATTACATTCGAGATGCATGCGAGAAAGTGTATAAATAGGACAGCCTCGATAGAGAGTCTAACGATCAGCCACTATTTCTCAAACATAAGCAAATTGATGGTCCTCATTAATCTCCTTTTTATCAGATAATATAGTTAGAACATCTTTAGAACAAGAAGCGAAACTTTCAAAGACACGATTCAGTCATTAGCGAACTCTTCACTAATGGCTTGACGTCAACCCGATGCAATTTTCTGATTTTGGAAATATAAGCTTCTTATCATATCAACTCCAAAGTTCTTGTCGCATAAAAAGTAAAATTTTAAACACTAAAAAATAAATTCAGATTTAATTTCGCATATTTTTAATAATTCTCTTATATATTGTGTATATTTTGTAATATGCGAAAGTGCCAAGTAGTTACAAAGAAAAAAGAACCAAGTATAGATCAGAGACCGCATTATTTCTTTCGTAGAAAAAAAAAAAATCAAACTATACCGAGGGAATCGAGCGAAGTCGTGATAATCCAATTGACAGTGAACAAAGGGAGAAAAAGGGGATGTAATGGCGAAATAAAAAAATAACGGATAACGGTAGAACAAAGTGGAGGAAGGTTTCGAAGAAAGATTAAAGAGGGGATTTTGTAAGTAGACGCGAGAATTTGCTCCTGGTCTGTCGGGGAGCGGTGGGGCTTCGCGGGGGTGGCTTTGTCGAGCGAATTCTTGCGGTTTCGGAGCAATTACCTTGACTGAACGCTAACGATGGTTCGTAAATCAGGATAGGATGGAACAACAGCTATTCTATCGGTGGTGAATCCATCTATGGTAGCTGTCATTCGAATGCAAGCTTTAAATCTCATTTTCCAAGACAATTAGAATAATAGATGTACATACATATGTACAGTGCTGTGTTTCTGTTTAATTTTAACCAGAAAAAGTTATTACTCTTTTCGTTTTCCACGATTTCTTTGCGATGACCCTCTTTGCACTTTTACGTAGAGAATTTATCGCTCTTCTATCAAACATACGTTGTTTTGTTCCTCTCGATACCCTTCTAGAACAGCTGACATAAATTCTGATCGGTGGCAAGATGCCAAGCGTAAGTTTGCAGATTGTACGATATACTTATAGAACACTTGGACATTTTATATCCCAAACTCGTCGTTTTATTAACTAACTATAGAATTTGTCTGATTTTTCTTTATGTTTTTGCTAATAAATTTGAAGTATCTCTCATGTCGATATATTTTTGTAAAAATATTAAAATTTATATACATATAAAATACAGAAAAAAAATATAAAACTCCATTTGAAATAGAATAAAGCATTGCTATCTAAATAAATAAATATGCAACATACATTCTGAATCGTCTTTGTATATACGACAATTCTAGCTTAATGCAAAATGCACGTGCAATTGTAGGTCAACAAAGTGCTTGATGGTAGGACTCATCCGATGGAAACTCGTCGGATTTGAGGATCCAATGACGCTTTGTCATTAAAGTCATTACGTCATCCATCAATAGGTAGCTCCTAAGCCTGCTGGGTCCGCAATTCAATGCCAACAAAGCCGCATTTATCGATTGTCGTACGCTTCACAATAACTGGCTATGCAGAAGCGTTTGAATGGTAACAATGTCCGACTACGGTTTGTAGATAAAGTCGCCGATTTCCACATTACCGCATTATTTGATTCTACTGTATTGGATCAAAATGTATTTTATTATTTCTTCCTGAAACATATGTATGGATAATCAAATTTTCATAATTGCGTCATGTCCTATGATTTCTTAACATTTCCAGTTTTGTCCTAGTTTTTAGCAAGGCTCTCTTTTTTATTTCTCTCGCTTTTTTCTCGTTTGCCCGATTGCTCGGTAAAAAAAATTGCGCATTTACATACAGTATATACAGTTATCATAGTGTAAAAAGACTTCAAGCACTCAAATACATAAAGCTAATCTTTACTACGAGCAAAACGTTTAATTTTAATTGTATTTTGAAAGTATACGGTTTTTTTTTTAAATTTGCAGAAGAAAAATAAACCTACGTCACGAAAATAAAGAGAATAAATCAATTTTCACGATTTTCAACATCGAAAAATTCTAATTGCCCCGTAGTAGCGTAACGGATTACACGCATTTTCGTGGTGTCACATGACACCGGCCGGAAAACAAAAGGCCACCAGTGATGGATGGGTTCCAGACGATTGAAGCGGCATACCGGTTTTCTGTTTCAGGTGGCATGGCTGCGGGTGGACACGCAAACCATCCTGACGATAGCCAATCATGTGATAACGAAGAATCACAGAATCGGCGTCACGCACACCGAGCACAAAACATGGCTGTTGCATATACGTGATGTCCGCGAGAACGACCGAGGGAACTATATGTGCCAGATAAATACTGACCCGATGAAAAGTCAGATTGGTTATTTGGAGGTTGTAGGTTCGTCTGTAGGATGTGCCTCACGCCCCAAATTAATACCGCAACAGAAAAATCCGGAAACTCTGTGTTTGTTTCGATGAAAAAAAATTCTTTGTTTTTTTGTAAAATTTTCGCGTTCAAATCGAAGGTTGCTGAGAGTAGGACCGACTGGAAATCAAGTCCGCTTCTGGATTTCGCTCGTAGTATCGCTTTCGAAACCGCGCTATATGTTACCTTTAAACCGCCAAACCATAGCATATCGAAAATTCGTGGTATTTCGCGAGATAGAAATCGACGATCGATTTCTCTTTATTGCCTTTTGCATATTGCCTTCTTCCTCGTCGTTTATATATTTTCCTATTCGCGCGCGCGATTATCATTATTATATTGTTTTTATAAAATTATTTTTGTGTGAATCTTTCCCTTTTTGAGCAAATGTATGTATGAGAATTATACTAATCATATAATTTTTATCCGACAGTTCCGCCAGATATTTTGGATTACCCAACGAGTACAGATATGGTGGTGAGGGAGAGTAGCAACGTTTCTCTGCGTTGCGAAGCAACAGGGTCACCGACGCCAAACATCACCTGGAGAAGGGAAGACGGCGAGTTGATTATTCTGGGAAATAGTCAGGAAGGTAAACTACTTGCAGGCTGTCGTTTATATGTACAAAGAAAGCTTAATGGTTTGCTGGAATAACTTAGCGACGTTATCTTTAAGGTTCTTTGTAGCCAAATGACTTTGTATGTCAATGTATTTATAATGATATCCTTTTGTGGATACGCCCTGTCCTATATTCTCTCTCATAAAATTATATTTTTCTCAAGAGAAATTTATTCAAATTTTGTAATAAAATAGATAGTGATTTCGTAATAAAATAGATAGCGATTTGCGTGGCGCACGCAATTTCCAGATAACCGTTCAATTGCTCGCGATATTCGTCGAATTCCGCGGCGTACGCAGCGCGACGAACTATTTTCCATAATTTGTGCACGTAAAAGCGTCAGGTGGCGCGAAAATTCCCGGCCGTTCCTACATAGACGTACTTATTTTATTCGCATCGCTCATCTTGAAAATCGCCGCGCCGTCATAGGAAAAGCGACCGCCCACGCGCGCACAGCTGAAACACCGGATTCACTCAACGCGGGGAAACGACGATTTATCATTCCGCCTCTCGGACTTTATTCACCCGACTACGTTGCGTGATGCAATTGCATTCGAAGCTGCCGATGCGACCGTGTCGGTGACGTCAAGGTGAAATATGCGTTTCAGCCCTTATGCGTCTCGCACAATAACGTCAAGGAAAATCGAGCTTCCTCGTTCGCACCTGTTCGAACAACGCGGCGACTTTATTCTACGGGTACAATAACAATTTATCATCCTTTTGTCTTTCAAACTTATTGAGCCGTCCCGCCTCTCTATGCAGTTCCGTTAAATATTTGCTCCCCTTTGTGCGCATTTTATGCACCTGTCTCCGCGCAGAGGGAGCCCACGATAATTTATAAGAGTAAACGACGATTCTTTTAGCATCTTTTTACAGTTTGACCTTGTTCCTTGCAAAAATAAACGTATTTCAGCGATATCATTTGATTTTATTTTTAAATTACAATAACTGCTTGATGGAGCCTTTATACAAATATTAGTCTCCTTCTATTTAATAGTAATACATTAGCATTAGAGAAATTTGATTCGTTTATAATATAGATAGATTTTACGTTAAAAATTTTGCAGCTATTTATATTGTCTAGTGACATGTCGTTATTAATAATGGTTATTTATTATTCACATTGTAGTCAGATAATTTGAGCGATGATCTTTTTCGTCCTGTTTTAGGTTCGTACTAATGTCATTTAAATACACCGCGTGTCATAATGATTCGCTGACGTGGATACAATATCTATTTATCATCTCTATTATATCCGAAAATTATTGAACCATCGTTTTGCATAATGTCGTTTTGCTGACAGCGAAAACATTTATTCCGCTACGCGTGCAGTTTATTCATGCGCTTCATTAAACATCATCTGCCAACCATTTTAAATGATCTGCTATAGAAATTTATTATGTCTTCGTTTACGTTTACCTCACATTTCCATTATAATATATTTGTTATTAGAGAGAGAGTTTATATATTATATTATTCAATATTCTACACATTCTCTCTCTTCTCTCTCTCTCTCTCTCTCTCTCTCTCTCTTTTTCTCTTTCTCTTCTATTTTTCCTCTTTATTTTATATTTTACAATTACACATTTATTCGTTTAAATCATTTATTTCTTTATTACTTATTCTTTTTAGAAAGATTCAGAGTCATCTACAATATCATGATAATCTTTTCGTTTACATGGTTTTTCTCTTCTTTAACTTTCTTGATTTTTTAGTCAATATATAGTAAGTTCCTCTTTCGCAAGTTTCTTTCATCTTTTTGTTTAACTTACGAACATGTACGCTTCTTTTGCGACCATGAAAACTCTCTGTTGGACGTCTACATCGTACTCGGTTTATTTCCATTTCAATCTTTACTCTATACTTGAACGCCTCCATCTTCTTTCATTTTTATTTTCTTAAAGAAAAGTCAGTATTCTCTCTTTCTCTCGATTTTCAGAGATATCTTTAACGCGTGCTTGTTCCTCTTTAGTTCGCAAATATTCTCGCGTCTTTCTTATTTTGATTCCCTTTTCCGTCTATGTGCTTTCCCTTGTGCTTAACTTCTTTGCCATATTCTCTCTCTTCTCTCTCTCTCTCTCTTTTTCTCTTTCTCTTCTATTTTTCCTCTTTATTTTATATTTTACAATTACACATTTATTCGTTTAAATCATTTATTTCATTTTTACTTATTCTTTTTAGAAAGATTCAGAGTCATCTACAATATCATGATAATCTTTTCGTTTACATGGTTTTTCTCTTCTTTAACTTTCTTGATTTTTTAGTCAATATATAGTAAGTTCCTCTTTCGCAAGTTTCTTTCATCTTTTTGTTTAACTTACGAACATGTACGCTTCTTTTGCGACCATGAAAACTCTCTGTTGGACGTCTACATCGTACTCGGTTTATTTCCATTTCAATCTTTACTCTATACTTGAACGCCTCCATCTTCTTTCATTTTTATTTTCTTAAAGAAAAGTCAGTATTCTCTCTTTCTCTCGATTTTCAGAGATATCTTTAACGCGTGCTTGTTCCTCTTTAGTTCGCAAATATTCTCGCGTCTTTCTTATTTTGATTCCCTTTTCCGTCTATGTGCTTTCCCTTGTGCTTAACTTCTTTGCCATTCAGGTATTGTTTCTGGTGCTCCATACTTTAATTAACGGATTCTTTCTTTTCGCGTTCTCTTTCTACACTCGCATACTTTTCCATCCTACAGGCTTCACATTGCGATTTCTACGACCCTTTTTTACTCCTGAAAGTCCCTCCTTTTATCCTATTCTTTTTCTCACGGCAATCACGAACAGTCACGACAATCCACCCTCTTCGACGCGCTTCAACTTCTCTCGCATTCTACTATCCTTTTTCACTCGCGAACTCTTTCCGTTCTTCTGGCGACCTTTTTCGCTCATGAGTGAACGTTCACTCCTCTATCGCCCCCTCACGCATTCGTTCTCCATCACGGACACTCTGTTCTCGTTCATGTATGCGTGGACAAAATCCCGGATAAACCGCCAAACCTATTTGCCGGAAACTGTCCGCAAATACTAGCGGGAAAATAAAGTTTCACTAGTCGCGGGGTAGTGCGAAGTTTCGGGGACCTTTGTACCGTCCGATTGCTGTAGGATTTTCAGTCTGCACTTTTCCAGCTCTGTCTAAAGTTAGCCAGCAACATTGGAATATCTGGGCATACACATTCTTCTATAATTTATGTACCAATAAATATTTATAGCTTGAGATTATCGAGACAGATTATTAACGACAAGATAAGTCTTCACATTTAATTCGCATGTGTATTTATTATAATAAGTTTATATAGAGATTATTCTCTAAATTATTATTAATTATTTACATTATTCTCTATTATTGTAATATTATTGCATATCTATTTACATAGATATTGCGATTGTATAATTGATTTTATGTTACCGAAAGTGACAATTTATGTCTTCCGGTGTAATTCCCCGGACTAAAGTAGCGCAGGTAGCGGAAGTCGCGGAATACATTCAACAGTGAACAGTAAACTGTGGCCGATTTAATTACTTCATTAGTCGAAAAAGCCGCGTTAGCTTAATTTGAAAATCTGGTACATGGAAAATGTGAAATGTAAAGTCTATTAAACGTAGTTGGCGTTATCGTTTTCTCTCTCTCTCTCTCTCTCTTTTTTTTTTTTTCTTTTTTTTTTTTTTTTTTTAGCAGCAGCAATGCTCGCGTATAAATCGGCACTCGCAACTAATTAACTAAAGAGCCTGCACAACCCAACCGTTGGTTAACAGCTTATCTCGTATGCAGGTGATTTCAGGCTGAGTCAGCAGGCATTTCAATAATATAAATCACCTTGCACGAAGATTAAACGATGGAGCCGACCAAGTCGTTCCTCAACGACTAGAAAATTCATCTTCTTTGAATACATCGAGCTTTTTGGTATCTCATGTTATAAATAAATATAAGCTTTACTTTAGAAATAAGTTTTCTGTGTATGGTAAATACTGCAAATACTGTCATAGTTACAGCTCGTCGACGGTAAATATCGTTTGGAACAGGGATGTACAACTTTTTAAAGATTTAGTGCGACGGTTTATCTAGATATATTTCGCGCGAGCTAGACATGGAGCGTAAGAACATGAAAGTTAAGGATAACAAGCGGGTTTTAAGCCACGGATGTGTTCAGTTCCAAGGCTGGAACCGTAACGGAGAGCTCCCGTGTATTCGGCTTACGTCTTAAAACTTAAGAAATGCAAGTGGACGAGTTGCAGCACAAGGCGCGACGTCTCCCACAGGCGCGATATTCTTTAAGTTCTAAATTTTATGGCGGATGTTTTGCGCCTCGCGTACCGCTCTAATCTACATACGTTAACTTCGCGATTTACGAATTCTTCTGGATTATATGTCACACTTTCTCTTTTTTAAACGTTTACGTACAGGCTATTGTACCACGAATTAAAAGTTTGATATGTTTAATTAACGATAAAGTGCAACTATATACATTTTCGTATGATCAAAAAAAGCGCGATAAATTTATTGGTATGCAATATTCGCATGGATTTTTGTTGGCGAAAAGATTTTACGTTAAAATTGAATTTATTTCGCGATTATTCAGCAAAATATTTTTTAAAAGATGTTTTGGGTATACAATAGTAGCAAAAAACTATCGAAATTTAAAAAAATATATATATATTTTACGTTTATACTGTTTGGAAAGAAAATTTGGAAAATAAATAAATCTGGATTATAAAAAGAATTAAAATATCACAAAATAATATCGTTTTTAACGTCTTCATAAAAGAAAATACTCGTAATTAATAATTTTTCTAATTTATGATAAAAACTTTTGGTCATAAATAACAAAATGTGAAAATTTTTATTTCGCCGGCAATGTTTTTTTTTTGTCTGTCAATAAATTCTACAACATACGCGATTTTTCATAAGAATCAATACAAACTTCAAACTTTAATAATTTCCAAGCCGTTGAGAGAATTGTGCTCAGATTTTGCACAGATATTCAAAAGAAATAGTAGAACAGCCCACAAAATTTTCATGCTTTCGTCAATGTTTTGACATATAACACATACATCTTTAAATACAATGATAGATTGTAACTATGAAAACAAAAATGAATACGAAATGGCCATACCTTAAAAGATACACAATTTTAACTGCTCATGCATTGCAAATGTATATATCTTATCTCACGTAAGATCCGTAATAGAGTTAAGAGTTACTTGGCACTACCTTGGCACTAGATACATAATATTCGCAACTGAGAATTCGAGTAAGATATACACTAGCAAGAAATCACAGACAAGTATTCCACCGCCTAGAGTGCAAGACGGGTTTTGCGAATAACTTGTACGAGACGTTCAATGTTAACGGAGATTAGACTACGTGATAAAAACAATGGCGCGGTGATTAGTATCGGTATCGCGGAGAAATACAATCCAACGTAGCCGACGTGTATTAATTCGAATCCTGATTGCGGATTTTTTTGTCGGATCTGATGAAAATTTCTTGCCGGTGCATTGAATTTATGTTTCGCGACTCGCGCGATTTACGCTCCGTAAATAGAACAAGTCAAAATTAGAAATAAACTTATTGTATAACCGTGTCGATGTTAAATCTGTAATACTTAACATAATAATCATTAATATAATACAATATCCAATTTCACAAATTCTACCGCTAATTGGTATTAACGACTATGTATATTATATGACTTTAAATAAATAGTTTAATGATTAATTATGTCATAGCTGCCAGTATTGAAGGACCGGTCTTCAATATCACGAAGGTGAATAGGTTGCAGATGGGAGCGTATCTTTGCATCGCGTCCAATGGTGTGCCGCCAACAGTCAGCAAGAGAATTATGCTTGTTGTACATTGTAAGTTATTAATTCCAGAACAATTTTTTACACACAGTGTTTTAATGCATTAAAGTATGTTACATTAGTTTAGTATATAAATACCTAACATAATATTTAAAAACAACTGTATATTATTCTTCTTTCTTAATGTTAACAGTTGCTCCAATGATTTGGATCCAGAATCAATTAGTAGGTGCTCAAGAAGGACAGCAAATGACATTAGAGTGTCATTCCGAAGCATTTCCCAAATCCATCAATTATTGGACACGAGAGAACGTCATTATAACAAACGGTATGTTTATGAATACGAAACCGCTTATCTCAATAAAAATGCATTTATTCCGGCAAATTTCGGCGCGTCATTAAAGAAATAAAAATTTGCATATATTAAACATTGCAATTCTTAAAAAAATTTCTCAATATGTTACAAATAAAAAATAAATAATTACACTGCTTCAAACTTTGAAAGTTTTCACATTCGGATATCATTTGAAATAGAAGCAAACTCCCGAATCGATCGAAATTATACAACAGCAATTAGAGAGCTTTTGCCAGCAATGACGACATTAATTCGATCTATGACAACGCCAACTCTTTCAACATCGGCGACAATAATTGCGACAGTAGCAGCAATAACAACTGGTCTATAGATTGCCACTTCCGCGTGTGCAGCATGCATGTTCCCGCCATAATTTAATGAATGGTAATCGAACTCCGCATCAACGGCATATTTAACCATACTTTACTAGCCGACAATACATGAGCAGACTCGGTTTGCTCATTCATTTACGTCCGTGTACTAAAAGTTAAAAGCCGTTGTAAATGGTTAACATTCTGACAGACTCATTTGCTAAATAGAAGGTAGAAACGATCTGAAGTTTGTTTTTCGAGATACTTTGAAGAAATTATTTTAGAAAAAAAAATATATTATCTCGGGATTTATATTATCAATTTCTTAATGAACGATTTGCCTTCAATATTTTCTAAAAAGAGACAGCTGTAAAGTGATTTGAACGAGAATTGAATATTTTTCTCTTCGGTACTCTTTTAAACTAAATCAGTGAAAATATCACTGATTAAAATAGTGAAAAGATTTTACCGAAAATCAGAGAGTATTTTACAGATCTTTAGTAAAAACATTCTCACTTTGCTCCTCCGTTTTACACTTCACTGATTATTTCTGATTATAGATAGTACGATTTCATTGAAAAATCAGTCGCTACCATTAATGGTAACTAACTGATTTTTCTCAATGAAAGATTTGCAATACTATATACTTATAATTGAAACCATTACTTATCAATGATAATACATACTGATTCCATTTAAGAGAATGATGATCGATTAATACAATGTACGCATGGAACGATCAATTAACAATCTTCGGTGTAACGCAGGAAATAATGTTTGCAGCGCCCGCAGACACATACACGTAGCCGTCTATGGCAAGTGAGACGCGGCAAATCGGATGTGACAATGCACGATGCATCGGCGCTGCGCTTTACCGAAAAGCGGCCCGTGTGGGCCGTACACGCATAATTATTTCGGATAATTAGACATGACACGGCTGCTGCCGCGGTACCTTCGGATCCATTAATGCACGCCGGCCCCCGAATTCCGCTGCGGGTATATGCGGGAGTAAGAACGGGCGACGGCGACGGCGACGGCGCGGACGCCCGCGTCTGCAGCTGCTAATCGCGCGGCTAATTAGGTTAATTTCGGATCGCTTCTGCCGGCGCACCTGCAGCTCCTGACGCGGGCTCGCTGGCGTTTTGCTACCCGGTGATCGATGGCCCGGTACGATTTCCATTTGCAGCGCCGAAGGGGTTTTAGGGGAGGAGGGGGGAAAAGATTAATCTTTGTTTGTCCAGGCGTCCCAGATTTTTATTTCACAGGCTGGTTTTTCGGGAATGAAATCGCCGGCTTTCTGTCGCGCGGCTGAATGGCCTTCGCTTATCTGCATGACGGAATCTGAACCTGTATAAACCACGTTAACAACGATCGCGGGTGTGACTTATGGGCATACCATCTTTTATCGCGGAGCGACAATACAAACGATAAACGCTTTTTAACACATGACGGCGATGTCGATTAAGCTGACCGCTCTTATAGAGAATAAATTCGTAAACTTGAATGTGTTTTGATCAGATTAAACAACTCGAAGTTTTTATAATCTTTGTAAAAATAATTCATCGTATCAAAATTTTAATTTTAATTTCTACGGCCGTGACGATTGTATAATTCTAAAAAAATATTCAAAAATGTCGCCGGTCTGCATTTTCCGCGCGGCTCAACACGACTTTCAATCCGAGTGGAATGAAAATCCGATAAAACCGAAGGCGCGACGAATGCGTTTCACGGCTTATCTGGCCGAGGTTCCGTACCCGCAGCCCGGATGGAAAGCATGCGAATTACGAATGGGTTAACTGTCAAGTTATCTCGCATTATATTCCCCGTGTCAACCGCACATGCCCCCCCCCCGGCGTTTCGGCGTAACAGTTACGACATGCTTTACGATTTAACGTTCCGCGGATATGCGCCGTCCGCTAATGCGAATTCAGAGCGCGTGACCCACGCACGATCAGATATCGGGCGGGCAGCTCGGACCCGTGGACCGCCGTCACATCTATGTGTGCAACGATTTTCGGCATCGAATCGACCATTCATCGGGTAACGTAGTGAATAGCGTGCTTAAAACCATGCACGATTTTCAAATCAATTCCAAATATTCGCTTCACAAAATTGTTATTCGGAGCGCATATTTTTTCGAAAAAAATTTGCCAATAAGGCTCTTAACTATTTCACAGGTATCTTTTTCAATCAATACGATAACGACATATATTTTTTTTACATATTTATATTTGAGGCAAACATGTATACACAATATATATATATGCGATGAATTTTAATATATATTCAAAAAATTGTAATCTGCGGTTTGCATTCGTCTGTAAAACGTGATTCACTGTAAGAATCCATCGCGGAGATGTGACACGATTATAGAAAAATCGCGATTCAAAATTACACCGTGAGAATCCGACTAAAGTTGGACATTCAAATTTCCGGTAAAGCAGAAAAGTTTTATCGGCGTCTTTGAAAATTTTTTTCTTGTCCCAGGTGAGCGACGCTGATTTCATGCTTATAAAGCTTTACGAGAATATATCCGGCGTCGGGAAATTCATGTATTTTCCTGCTCGAAACTTGGAGTAAATTCTAAGTTTCGCCGAGCGTTTCCAGTCACGCAGTTCAATCGACGGAGAGAGAAACGATTACATATAGATATCACACCGTCCGTTTTCACGTGACGGCAACTCGAGTCGTAAAGCGCGGCGGAAAGTACAATTCTATTATGCCCCTATAGTAGAGTCATATAATGAAAGTAGCCATTTCGTGATATCGTTCGCGTTGCAGCATGGCAATGTAATAGATATTGTATATAAGAAGAAAAGAACAAATTTTCATATTTATATATTACACAATCAACGTATCAATACGTTTATAATACACATACATTTTTAAGTGAAATTATTAAATACTACTTTAAACAACTACCCTCCAATATATCAAATAATGATTAAAAAGAAAAACTGTTACGCTCGATAATTATCGTGCCGAATACTGTTGCAAATTCAGCGTTTTTTTTAATCAAACGCGAGGCGATAAATTTATTGTATAAATTTGGAACCGTTCAAGAGAGGGTGGAAAGGGTGATTGGGAATTTGAGACCGCCAGCTCGTTGACAAGAGGATTACGCCGTAAATCAGTGCCTTTGGAAAATATAATCTGTCAGTGGGCAAACACGCATTACGCTCGAGCCGGAACACCAATTCATTATCAACATAGAGTTCCCGACGGTTAGCAATTACGCGATATTTAACGTTTCGCCGCTCTACACGCGCGTGTTTGTGTGTATCAAATTAGATCTGTCGGCGTTAAACTCATTACATTTTTTATGCTCGTACATTCGTCGCCGAACTATGTGCGGTCTGTTTTTAAAAGAACGCGTTTCCGCGTCATCGTTGTACTCCCGTGACAGTTTCAGGTATAATTTCTCTCTCTCTCTCTCTCTCAGAGAGATTTCATTTTGCAGCGTTAATTACATTTCGGAGACTTAATGAATTAAAATTAAAAATCTTGACAAGAATATCTTTGTACGCTGCGGAATTTTAATGGGAAGCTTTTAACAGAAGATTTGCAGTGCTTTCGCGAATAAATCCTCTTACTTATATTATGTAAATGCATTCTTGTACATTATGCAATAATTAAATAAAATGTAATTGATATTAGTTTATCTTGGCAAGCAATTGCGTACGCATTTTTATGATTCTACGATTACTTTAGTGTGCAAATAAAATAGCAACTTTTTTCCATAATTTATATTTATTAATAACTTTCTTGCGATATTATTTCGCAATATCCGTCGTTTTAACGGCTCGATGCTCTTTACGGCATTTGCAGCTATTTATTTTAATACGATAGAGTCGTCTTCTTTTTTTACTACGGGCTGCATGCACCAAACGTAAAAGCTAGATTGCGTTTGTAAAAGTCCCGAAGTGTCGTGTGATCGATGACGCGGGCGCGTGATCGCGGAAACGACGGCATCGTGGGCGAAATTAAGCGTGAGCGATCGCCGCGCGGATGGAAATTACGTCGGCAGTTTGAGTTTCCCCAAGTCAGCGTGATTCATGCCCACATATGTTGGCGGACCGCGCGCGCGGACGAGCAGAGACGTACGGAGATACGAGTAACACACAAAATATCGGGGATACCCCGCCGACTTTCGGGTTTAAAAGCAGTTTTATCCCTGCGGAATCCATTCGCGGATACCCCTTGCCCCTACCCCCCCTCCCCTCTTCCCCCCGTGCCGCGGGTAATGATGGTGCCACTACATAAATGCATTCTACCCTTCCGCAGCCCTTATTCCTTCTCCTCTGCTTTTCCTTCACCTCCTCAATCTCGTCCTCTCCTCCCCCGCACACATTTCTCTTTCTCTATCTCGGAAACGTAAGTTTTCCTACCGGCTGGGAAAATACTTCGCCTCCGCTTTGCCGCGGGTCATTACACCTATAGATTTCACTCTCTTCCGAATGCGCCACCACCTCGAATTGTTAATCAAAACTTCTTTCCGCATTCGCGCGCCTCGTCCCGTTCCGTTTTCGCCCCTCTCGCGCCACTTTTCATCCACCGGGACGTTATCGAGAGGAATCGAAACGTTAATGCCGTTTCCCAATTTAGTAGATACTGATATTTTAGTTTAGTCTAGATACTAATATATTACATTATATTCTAGTACTGTTTCATGCTCACGGAAAATTTCTCCGGCAGGGATGATAAACTCGAATATGAACAATTGACACATGAACATTTGAGAGATAATTAAAGGAATATGCAAAGTTTTGCGCATTTCGATTATAAACTTTGTATCTTAAATTAGTCATGTGATCACGCATAATTCTCCAGTTTCACTTTACTATTCCGTCTAGAAGTAACGAGTGGTTGGCGTGTTCGCCCAACATAATAGTATTGCATTCCATCTTATTTTCGGTCCAGCGAAATTTCCTCGAGAGATGCCCTTTTCTAGGAATTGCAATTCTATCTCTCGAAATTGAAGACACGATTGTAGTATTCAGATTTATGAATCTAACAAATTTGATAAATAATTATTAAATCATTTCACTTTCATGAATAACTCTGTTTAAAATGTTATTTATAAATGCTTATATAAAAAGATATGATAATACTTTAATTACGAGATTATGTGACGAGATGAGATAAACTATTCGATTAATTATTTTAACGTAAGATATCGTGTTATAAGAATGTGTTTACCAGAAGGTTACACATTCGTATTCGATTATTGATTTGCGAGAAACGGGTAACGAAATCGGAAACAAAGCGTTTGGAACGATTTAAACGGATGCAAGGTGAGGTCCAGGCTGACGCGTGAATATGAGAGCCGACACGAATCCACGCGAGAAACCCTAATGCCAGTTTTTCTAGTTGACAGAGCACAAAGCACAGTGAACCGTAAGAGCGTACCGGAAGCGCGGGATATTGGCAAATACGTTTTTGAATATCGTTATATTATATTCGGTCCGGTAGAAGATGAAGGATGGATCAAAAACATGGACGCGCGTTTATTATACTTGCAATTTTTTTTTTTCAATACTAGATACGTGCGTCGTAATGACATGCGTACGTCATAATGACGTAAATGTAATAATATAAAGATATTATTTGACATATATTAAATAATTAATTGCATATATAATTTTATATTATAATCCGTTTTAAAAATATTTTGAATTAACACGTAGATGCAATTTTATAATATACGTATAATGCGGGCAATTTCATACATGCTTGCACAAAAATATTACTACGCGGATGTAAAACTGATTTTCGGTTTGTACAGATTCTAAGTAAACATCAGGTTTTCCTTGCGTGTAGTTTCAACGGAACTAGCTTTCATCGTAGATTAAAACTAATTCCATAATTTTAACGACAACAAAGAAGGCGCGAAGCATCTTTTATCTCGCTTGATATTTATTAAGCTTTTGCGGTTAAGTTCTGAAATCAGAAACTTTAGCATTTCGCTCGTTTAACACACTCCTCTTTATAATTTCGCCAGGGACGATATATATTAATTCTGCACAAACAACAGAGGAAGCATCTCTGCATCACAATGTTTTTTAAATTACAGGGGAGAAGTACGAGGCATCCTTTTCGGACAACGTGTACAAGGTGCATATGAAACTAATGATACGTTCGGTCGCGATGTCCGATTATGGTAGCTACAAATGCATATCTAAAAATTCCCTTGGCGAAACGGACGGCAGTATTAAGCTCTATCGTGAGTACATGTAATATATATATTTCTATCATTTTAAATTACTTTTATTTAGTTGACAGGCACTGTATAATGCGAATTGGAAAACGTATTCATATTCTTGTTTGCTAGTGCATTACAATTTTGTCATTTACATAGATTTGCAAATTACCAAACGATTCTGCTCGTTTTAATCCAAATTAAACTTCTGTGTGCTCGACTCGTATAAATTAACATTCTCAAACATGTTTTAACGGTTACATATAAATCAACCACTCGATAATATTTATTCTTTCATCCCGGGCATGTCAAATATTTTGATAAATTGTACATTTTAATCGCGCACGCATCATAATGCGTCATAATTTATTATTGTTATTTGCGCGCACGCACATAATTCGTAAATTAATTTTCTTGTTATTTTTTCGGCATTTTCCTCAATATGTTGATGATGCGCTGCACTAATCGGGATTATCTCATGAAAAATGTTACGACTATGTCAATGTACGTGCGATTACGATATGTCATTAAACTGATCGCGCAATTTGCGCGACGGCGGCGATCAGAAAGCAATCCGGCAAAGTTACGACGGTAATATTATATTAACGCGATATAAATGATTTATCGCGGGCGTATATCTCGACCGCGGAGCCGATATCGATTCTCGCGCTGGTTCTCGAACATTTGTCAAGCGGTCGCGCTTATCGGCGCGGCCGTCGCACCTTCTTTCGTTCTTTCGCGACTTTTGGACCGCGCGTTATCAGAAATCGTTAGTCGCGCGATGAAGAACGTATTCAACGGATGAGAAATTAAGCATCCGACGGGAGCGAATCGTCGGCCATCAGACGACGCGATAAAGCGAGCGCGCAGTTTTTTCGGAGACAACGAGCGAGATATATCGCGGGTATAAGTCGGCTTTGAAAAGTGAGACGGTGGCACCTAGTGCCAATCGCGGCTCTCCGATAACCGGGATCTTTCTCGCGAAACGCGCGAGACTCCGGGGAGAAATGTTGGACCCCGAATGCACATGCGAGCGTAAATGGAAGAGTCGCGAGGGAAACATCGAAATCAACGTGTTTTATCGTTGACAGGCGTATACGCGATAGTGAAAGTTTGACACTGTAAAACGCAATAGCAACATACATTCGCGTCAAGATATAAATTGGAAGAAGTGGAGTGTCGCGTCAAAAAGTACTCGATAAAGGAATTTTATATTTTTCCACTAAGAATCTACATAATTTAATCGATGAGATGTTAAACGAAGAATGAGTTGGCGTTTCTGTTCGCGCGCGGCAAGAATAGAATTTGTTCGGAAAGGAAGGCGAGTTCCTGTATCAATCATCGCCGTCGGTTAGACACTTTGCCGGTATTTTCCTCAAACTCCTCATTGATTCGATATCAAAGGCGAGTTCGTCCCCGCGATAGGGAGTGCCGTGAAAGTCAGCCCGGTCGTGTCTGTCTCTCCCTCGCAAATCCGCATTTCCCGAGAAAGCGGTGCGAGCGGTGAATCACCGATAACCGCGAGTGTCGATCTGAGTTTCCCAACCCCTTGTCACTCCACTCATCCCTTCCTTTTACCGTGGCAAAAAAAGAACCCTTCTCCTTTATCGATCGGTAATTGTAGGTTTTCGCCTTGGCGCCCCTGCAGATTGAACGTCCCAGCTTTGTGCTTTACTGCGACCGCCGAATCGGCGGATTACCGTTAAGCCGCTTAAATAAGCGTTCGATTGTGTCGACGATTTAATGCGCATTAGCATTTTAACTCGGCCTTTCAATCCGCACCGAAAGTTGCTATAATGGCTACCGGATTCGAGCGTTTCTAGTTTTAATTGCTTAACTTTATCTGAATGACAAGAGGAAGGATGTTTTTTTCCGTTGATTGCAAGCGTTGTTCTTAAATAAGATCGCCCGCTTAAGAACGATGGCCGGAACGCAAGTCGAACTTTATCGCCATTGATTAACGATTATTTATCGTTGACATTATTTCACATCAATTTTAATTTCCTAATTTTTAAATTTAATATTTTTATAAATCATTTTTTATTCTTAATTTTTTATTTCAAATATCAATTTCAATTTTTTTTTTATAACTAATTGAATGAAAATTCAAGGATTATGTTGATATTATGATTAAATTTAATTAATGTTCAATCATATTATGATTAAATTTAATTAATTAAGTAACTTTTCAAATTTTAAATATTTTTGCTACGCTTTCTGACCAGTTGGTCACCTATTTTGCGTAACTTATCGATTTTTCTAGCCAGTATTGGACGTATCTTTCGCTGATCTTGATCATATTTATATGGCTATATCTAATCATATTGGCCTTTATAAAAAATCGAGGAGGAAGAAAAACTTCTTCTGTTATCGACTGATTATCGCTAAATTTGTACTAATTTACTTGTAACTATATGAATTTTCCACGAGTGTAACGTGTGGATCAACGAATCCTGACAACTTTGTGATGACAATGGATGTATGTCACGAAATCTGGCCAAAAGTTGGAAGTAAAGAACAGTGCTGATCTACAATATTTACGAATCTGCCATCTCAGAATAAAATAAAAGTTTGTCACTTACCGGCTGATACGCAACAGCGAAGTTGATAGCTTGAAACTACGTTGATCTGTAACGTAAAAAGATCCAAATTGTAGCAACGCCCACAAAATAATAAATATTTCAAAAAATTATTATTGTACGCATTGAATTTTATATTTGATGCGTACAATAATAAGCAAATATTTAACAGACTAATTTTATAAATTCTAAAAAAAATCTACATTTCATTAAGTAGAAACTTTTACAGAATTATATAGCTTTTATATAAAACATGTTTTTTCTCTAATTCTCTCTTGCTTAAATTATTTAAATAAACAAACCAAATTACGCGATTAATCATATAATTCAAGTCTCGCGCATACGCTATTAATATACAATTAATATACAAATAATAAATACTCACCCCAAGGTAGCTTCACCGGCGCCCGATGCCTCTTCTAAATCTCCTCCTGCTCTCAGATTGTCAGAGTCGTCAAGGTTGTCAGGGTTCGTTGATTCACACGTTGCACTCGCAAAGTTCATACAATTTATAAAATTTATTCATAAAAATTTCATACAGTTTATTATGCGCGACAGTTTGCACGACACTCCCGCGCGATACTTTGCACGTCACTCCCGCAACTTGGATGTGCGATATTTTAAATGAAACTCCCGAATTTACGATAAAAACGAACGCGCGATACTTTCACAGCACTCTCGAAGTCCGCGATGTATAGTAATATGCCATTTCGCACGAGAATCGCATTTCGAGTCGACGAGATAACTTTGAGCAAGAATTAAGCGCGAAGTGGAAGAAGAAGAAGATTGTATATGCGCGTATAAAATCGCGCCAAAATTTCGGATACAATTATACATATATGGCCAAATATGATCTTATATTATCCATTTTTTCTCGGGTACATTTGAAAATATGTATAGCAATACCATTGGTATATGATGTATATGACAAGAGACGGGACGAACCGAACGACGACGATTCCATCCGCCCTTATCGGACAATCGACCGAACTCTAACCGATTTGGATCGAACCGCTTGTCGGAGCAGAGGGTGCTTTCATTGAGCATTGTCCAACAATGTTCAATGAGATTCAATCCTATTTCGTCGGCACGGAAGTACGATCCTCGATAATAATAATATGCGAAATGGGGATATCGCGCGAAGACGTGACGAACCATCCACTGAAAATCGAGGCACTATTCATTGTAAATTCGACGCATCAAATGCAGTCGCCACATATGAGTTATTCGCGACTCGTGACAATGTTTTGGGTACTTAGCTTCCCCTTCAGGATAAACCTTCCAGGTACTAAGCCCTCCCACCAACGTCAAGGTATCACCCGTTGGGAGAGTTATATTGTATAATTTTGTAATATAATATATAATTTGTAATTTATTTTATAAATGAGATTATATTTCTATATCGCATTCTAACATAAGTAAACATATTACAAGTTAAAATTAAAGATAAAAATATTCGCGAATTATTATATTCGAAAATATATAATTAGATTTGCCGACTGTTCATATCACAGATCTCGATCAAATGAATCCTGTGATAAACGATAATATGTAAGAAATGAGCGCTAAGCTCTGTGTAAAGTAAATTAATTTATTGTTGTTGCAAAATGTTTAATGTAATACATAAAACGTAAGAATAAATTAATTTGGAATATTTTGGAATATTTTGTTTTTTAAACTTAAAATTAATTATTAATTAAACGATTGATATGTATTATCTACTACTTTTCATTATTACAATGCGTTTAATTTCATTACTTTAATCGACTACTTTTCATTATTTTAATGCGTTTAATTCAATTACTTTAATTGACTCTGCAATTTGTGTTTCATTACGTGTTTCATTCTTAAACCAAATGACAAATTACATTTATTATTAGATCGATAGAAAATTTAAAGCATTGAACGGTATATATTTGATTCTAAGTATTGTTAAAGGAATATTTTTTGTGTACGTGTATCTGTCACAAAAACAAAATATTAATTTAGAATTATTATTCTTGTTGTTTTGACTTTTACTTGAAATAATACATCGCACGATTACTTATTGTTTATTAGTTTATTAAGAAGTTAATTAATCGTTAATTTTCATATATATGCGAAATATATTATACTATGTTTTTTAAATAATTATTATATTCGTAAAGATTGCAACATAAAATAATAACTTAAAATTTTTATCCTTATTGCTTTAATTTCTATTCAAAATAATAAGTCTGTATGTTATGTATTCCAGTTAATTTTTTTATACGCGAAAAAATCCACGAATGACTACATATTAATTAGTGTAATTTAAGATAAATACCTTTAATAAAAAGATATTACCGTATTATGAATTTTGGGCAGATATACCAACGCCTACAACGGAACCGACAACGACAAGCACAATGCCCATTCCTACTACTGTGGATCCAGGTAAACATTATATAATGCAATCTATTATTCATAAATGTGTATACTACCAACATATCAGTAACTGTACAGCTATGCAAACAATTCTAACAAGGAAAATATTGTTACTTTTTCAGTGGAAAATATCCAGTGGTCGCGACAAAAGCCCGTGCCCAGTCTAGAGCCGGGTTCTAATGAAATAACCGACGCATCTTTGTCGACTGTCGTCAGAAGCGAAGGTACGCTTGGTTTCCATTATATTCTTTTAACTTGTTTTTTACGCTATCACTAGCTGAGATTTTTCGCGCTAAACAAGGTTAAAGCCTCAGAAAAACACCACGTATATTCAATAGAAAGACATCGCACAAAGTCATTTAATTTCATTTTAAATTGCGTTGGAGTCTTCTAATAAAAGAAACATCTTGCTTTCTGCAATATGAAATTATAATTGTTCATAATACAATAAAAAATAGCGTTGTATACCAGGAAAAAAAAATTAAAAATATCTTTGTTGAACGTAGTTATATTTATAGTTTACTGAGGGAAAAAGAGAAAGTGTGAATACGTAATTGTTTTTTCTATAAAAAATCAAATTTATCAAATATTGATTGCATTACAAGTACAATAAGTTTTGTTGTAAGTACAAAACTATATAATCAATGAGACATATTTCGGATTGTTCAAAAAGTCGGAGCAGCCACCACCTGCAATTTTGATTTTGTTATACGCATTTGTATTATAGCGAGAAAAGTTTGTTTGCCCTTCCGTCATATTTTAATATTATACTACGAACATTATAAGTGGCAATTCCAACTCTGCATCACCGTTATTACAATTACGCATGTCGGCCATAGTTACGGTGTGTTGTCAAAACAAGTTTGAATATTCAAAACTCTGATCGTGCGAACCTCCTGAAACTTTTAGAGGAAACAAAAATCAGATTAGCCGACTGTATGTGTATACATGCGCGACGAAGGTGAGATTTGGCAACCGCACTGGGACTTCAATGGAAACTACAGTTTCAGGTGCCTCGAGGGACCTGTACTTCCTAATGATTATCGCTTTTGATTATTCACTCAATGTAATTAAGATTATACAGAGTGAATAATGAATGAATTAACGTTGATACGTAATAATTTGCTTCCTTAATTTTGAAGCAATCGATTGCAAGCTAGTTTCGTTAATAATTTATACAAAACAAAACTTTTGTAAAAATATACATTTGTGCAAAGCTTTGAAAACTTTTTAAATAATATATAATTAAATCTTTCTTATGTAAATGTTTAAAAAATATTTAGCTTAAAATTAAAATTTTTGTTTTAATTAGCAAAGAATTAAACGTATGCATATTGAATTTATAATGTTATTCATATGTTGGTTTTGGTACATACGATCAGACTTTCGTAATTCAAGCAATAAAACATTGATCTATACGATCGGTGAAGAGGAGCACTTGAAAACACGTCACCTCCCGCAAATACGTTGCCGCGACCCAAAATTCGCCGGGATACGTCGTCTTAAATCATCGGCCCCGACGTAATGCGAGAACTTACACGCCGCCGGGCAGTGGTGGAACTTTCCTCCGGAAAGTTTCGCGGAAGGCGCGAAGTTTATTCCGCAAAACTTCCAGCAACGTGCCACGCCACCGTGGAGAACCCCTCCCTTCTCTCCAGCTTCTTCCTTCTTTGTCGTCCTCCACCTCGACAAACGCGGAACTCTCGACGGGATTTTGATGAAATCCCACGCGGTTTATGAACTACCGTACTCGGCCCAACTATGGCAAGTAATCTGCACCCGGCTGCCACACCGGGACGGTATCCGAACTTGTTTCGATTATCATGTAAACTAGTGGATATAAGCAAAGTCACAGGCAATTCGAGAAGTAGTGAATTGGATGCGATCTGGTTACGGAATGATGCCAGCATCCGGAGCGGATACGGGCACAATGAATACTAAAGCAAAAGATAAAACGGAACGGGCACTAGACGACTTGACGTTTTGTATAAGTAATTTTTTCCGGAAAGAATAAATAATATGCGACGAAGATTATGGAAAAATATTCACGGCGGTTCATTAATTCTCACGTTCTCTATCCAAAGTATAGGAAACTATAACGTATTTTTCAAGTTTGTTCTCCTCTTTCGCGTGAAATATTCCATTGAATAGACGCCTCATCATATTCTTTAAGAACATCGTGAAAAATTGCAGAATATACTGAGACAATATATTGCTCGCATTTTTTTAGAAACGCGATCTCGTAGCAGACCAAGCCAGGGGGAGAATCACGAAGCCGAAAATGTCATTGACTCTAACAGCCATAAAAGTATCGATGATGACGTCGGACAACGAAGAATCGACAATACGGCGCAGTCAATGTCCTCTACAAGCAGCACGTGGCGTTGCGTGACGCGATCCAGCGCAGTGATCTCCATAATAGTGCTTTCCGCCCTGTCGTAGTCATCGCGACGTGGGGATGATTGATCGTAGTCCTTCCAACTTCAGGATAAAATCCTGTAAATCTCTCCTCATGCAAGGGATCAATTAATCGACGAATTAAAAGGGTGAATAGCATAGACTCATTAAAGAATCCACAGCTATACGCCGAACAAGAAAGATGATTATCATAGTGGAATTATGAGTTGTCTTATATTTGTTAGATGAGCGAAACTTTACGAAAAATTTACTCATATTAGAGATTTTCCCCCTCCCTCGTTTGTAATAAGATGCATTATCCATTTCTTTTATTCAGTTTTTGATATTATTATTATGCAAGAATGCATTTAGGTGAAAAAAATAATTGTCAATATTGCAATATAAAGATTGATTATTTTATTCACTAAACGCATTCTTAATTATTTTATATATATATATATATATATATATATATATGTATTGTCATATGTATATATTGTCTCACTAACGTTGCATATATATAATTTAAAACAAAAATATTGCTATAAATGCTCAAATTTATTTGCAACATTGAATGATAGAAGATAATTAATGTAATTTATGTAATACACTTAATATCTATAGCATAATAATATTAATTAATTTTATCGGTTTCTACGTAAACCGTTTGTTTACTTACAATTTTATCAGAAATCTCCGCGCCGCTTCGCAAGCGATCGATAATCGAGGTTTTAACGTGTCAGCCGACTTTCATCGAGGCCTACCATCAGACGTTTCTTAGAAACGAGGATGGAGTGACAACGAGATTTTTCTTATCTGATCCCATCATTATTTCCAAATCCATCTCTCTAATCTTTCTTTTATCGGGAGGGAAGCTTTCAAATCGCGCGCATCGTTAGTGAAACGAGATCACCCAATTTTTCTTCAAAGGAATCGACTGATTTTTCTTTTCATCCGGATGATTTTTACCAGTATCGCTTGATACTCTTATCTGGATCGTGATTATGTACTGAAAGATTGATTGCAGCAATATTTCATAAAAGATCTGTAGATATATCGAATTTTGTCTATTTATATATCCTACTATATATTTTTTAATGTTTTACTTGTGTTCACACACATAAAAAGCGTGAAAGTATATATAGTTAGCATAATCTGTAGTAATTATACAAACACATCGAACGTCAAACGAGATTGGACATTTTTTGTGAGATATTAAATATTACGTTAATTATAGACTCATGTCTCCATCATTCATCCATATGGATTTTGAACTTGAGAAAAAATTCGGCCTACTCGATTGTTGAATAACCATTTCTAATGATTTGCGCGTAAATGTATGTGCGTGTGCATAAATTCGTACCAGAATATTGATAATGCGATTCAATAATAGAGATATTAATATGTTATACGATACATTATCAATATTTCCGTACATTGATTTTACACAAAACTCACATAAGAGCATATACGTTGGACATTTAAAAAAAAAATTATTTTCCCATTGCGCAATTACATGTTATAATGTTGTAATATATATTTTAATTAATTTTCCTTAATATACACAGGAAAAAAATTAGCTATCTGTACTTTTATGCTGATTATTAATATTAGCCGTAATAGCAAGTACAAAATAATATTCAACTTTTTAAATTTGTATTATCAGTCGATTATCTTTAATTGTAATTTATTCTGGTCATATTTCTGTTTGAATCTAATTGTCAATGCAAAGAGTTAATCAATCTACTAACCTAAATGTATAAATTAGTACATAAGCATAGAGATTAATGTGACGTGTGCGAAACTTTAAGAATGAGTCGAAAACGATGCATGCAATGCAACGAAGCAATTGAGACTTGTAAATTTTTCAGAATTATTCACTTGCATATATTTGTAAATAATGTTATGATTATATGGATCTTTTTTCCATGATATATTATCGCTATACTAATTACATTGATAAGAATAGTTTTGTATATATATTAAGTCCCCTCGAAGAGAAAGTAAGAGTGTGAGTAGTTGTCGAAGTTTTTATATATGTGGATGTTTCCGCAAATGAAGTAATTGTATTCCCGACTTATATCAGAACAATGAATTTTGTATGAAAAAAATGTATCTGATTCGTCTTGTGCTATTTCACTTAAATTTTAATTGATACTTTGAGTGTGTTTTATGTAACTTTTAAATACTACAATTAAGTGGGAAAACTGGCATATAAGAGCCAAGGCGCGGGTATTGGTGCGCAAACTTATTATTGTTAAATTTTAGTAATAAATGTGTATTAAAAACGTACGTTTCGGACAGTTTTTTGGTCCATCTTCAACATAAATATAAATATAAACATTACATTGATATTTTAAAAGTCACATAAAACTTGCGCATCAATACCCGCGCCTTGGCTCTTATTTGCCAGTTTTCTCACTTAATTGTTAATACTCTGAGTCTATTGCTGTTATTATTCAAATATAACATTTTTACATGGTTATGTAAAATGTTAAATGCGATTGTTAAGCTACTCTTTAAATTAGAGATAGATCGCTACTTCTAAAATTATTTATATATAGAAAAGTTTTATACATTTGATATTATATAATATTTTGCATTATTTTGCCGGAAATATCCAAAATATTTTTACAACATATTATTTATATTTTATCATTATGCATTGTTAAAATAAGAATGACATATTTAGTGATATCAATTTGAATTTCGCGGTTCAGAGAAAGCGTTTGGAGCGTTCATAGACGCGTTCTTATGTTGCGCATGACAAATTTCGCCACGAAAAACAGTGCATTATTTGAAATATCAAGTGATCACAACTCGTACATTTGTATTTTAATTAATGTGAGAAAATTCAACATTAATCCATATTCGCTCAATGATACAATCGAATTTTGAAAATTAATTTAAGTGTTATACACACTCTAAACAATAATTGTAATCCCTCGATATAAACCATATATATTCTATGTCACAACTCAGGTGCTCCCTGGAATCCAGATGTACATATTAATTACAAGTCTATATATATAAGCGTACTGTAAAGTGGATGGAATCACTGTAAATAACTGCAACCAGCTTTGTATAATGTTAAAAAGTGGTACACGATAGGTCAACTATAAAAAGATATAACTCTATCATGTCTACACAAAATGTAATTAAATGCGTGTATATATTGTATTTCTTACGAATAATGTGTTAATTCATGGTTATCTTAAATTTCTTCCAATTTTTTTATTAAATTCTCATACAAAATTTTTCCAGGAAACAAATATGTGAGAGCATAGTTGATAGAGTTATTGTATAAATCTAAAGCTAAAGTAATACGTAACGTATTATTTTAACACACACACACACATACATAAACATATTAAATTAAACCGGCATTGAATTAGCAACATAAATTATTAATATAATTAAATTTATGTAAATATCGTGTACCACTTCAATTCAGATTTTTCTGTTAGCTGTAATAATCATAATCGGGGGAAAGATCGATTTCAGTGAGCTTATTATCGCTTTCTAGATAAAATATTAATATTCGCAGAAAAATTATAAAAATTATGTGAATTATAATAAAAATTTCATAGACAAAGAAATCCCAAAAATATTGTAAAGAGAATTATGTTTCCATTGCTGTAGTTATAGAGATGAATCATGTTGTAACTGAATGAATGAATGCAAATGGAATGAATAAATATCGAATGTTTAACCCACTTTGTATAAATTATATTTAAACATATGCTTTTTTTGATTATTCCTTTATATAAATCCTATTTAGACATATATTTTGTGGATTCTTTTTTTCGATAAAATCAGTTTTCAATTACAAAATTAATAAAAATAATTAATTAATAGTAAAAATTTATCAGTTAAATTTTTTGCGGTTTAAATCAGTAAAATTTTAAATTTTAGGAATTCCTGGAATCGTGATTCTTGAAATTTTAATTTATGCCATTTATTCAATTATATTGTTTTGATTTTCGATTTTCAAGAGTTTAATTTTCTCATGTAAACCATCGGCTTAAAGTATCAAATTTAAAATTCTAGGAATTCCTAGAAATACATTTTTTGGATTTTTTAAAACAGAATTACGCTCATTTACAAATACAAATATGTTTCTCTCTCCGTATTAATAATATAGTTTATTAAATTCTTATTATACGAGAAGTCACAGATCATTATTGATCCCTGTGGAGTTACATTAATTGCCATTTAATTTACATTTTATCTAATTTACTAATTAATCAATAAAATTTAAGATTTATTAACTTACCTTATCCTAAACGTTTTTATTCTTACGAAATACACATTTTGTACACTCTCGCATTCTGATTTTATTTCTTATATATTTATTCGTATGCTTTTTTCTCTAACGATTTATATTACGAGTAAGAGTATTTTGTGTACGCTGCTATGATATATATTTACTTAAATTGACATAAAGATATTTTTAATAATACATTCTATTTTATTAATTCCACCGCGTAGTTTCCGATTCATTGAAGGTCCCTTGAGCATGCAAATTGCATTATATCTTAATCTCGTTTTCGCAGCCTGAAAAATAAACAGAATTAATAATTACTTAATTAATAATTAATAACAAAGATAATTGATAATTCCGATGTTATTTATGATTTATGCAATGTTTGCATAAATATAAATATCAAATTTAATTTAATTTGAATTTAAAATTATATTTGGTTTTTAAGTTTGGTATAATTAGATAAAATTATATTAATTTTGTTCGAATATAAAGCTGCTAAGCTACCAACTCATCTGTGTGTTTTGTTTTCTCGGAAAACATTTTCTTAAATAACTAGCAATCATAATCATCGGTCTTAATAAAGCATAAATGTCTACATCCGATGCTCCAAGTATGCTCAATAATGGTGCAACTTTATGTAATATATTAAAAGTATTGTATATCAAAATATCCATGATGCACAATGCACTTACCGATTACACGTGCGTGAACTTTATTTCATTATCAATTATTTTTGCATTATTTCAATGGAGAAACACGGTGATAAACCATCACCGAATGGAAAAATTATTTTGCTTCAATATTTAAGAGGAATTATTATAAAATATGAATATAAAATATTAAGCAAGTCTAAAATAAAAGTATTATTGTCAATAATTTACTCCTTCTTTGCAAGATAGATTCGTTTTACAAGCTATCTTATTAATAGCGAGTTAATTACAATGAAAATATATGTTACGCGCAAAAATTAAAGCAAATCAGTTAAGTTCTTTTCGGGAACTAAAATACGTACAATAAAAAGTAAGTAATAAATTTGTATTTCATGTATACACGGACATTTTCCTGATGCCGATAGTGCTTACAGGACTAGATCGCG